GGAGGAGCATTGTAATAGTTCTACAGTCCATGGTACCTGGAGGAGCATGGTAATAGTTCTAGTGTCCATGGTACCTGAGGAGCATTGTAATAGTTCTAGTGTCCATCGTACCTAGAGGAGCATTGTAATAGTTCTAGTGTCCATGGTACCTGGAGGAGCATTGTAATAGTTCTAGTGTCCATTGTACCTGCAGGAGCATTGTAATAATTCTAGTTTCCATGGTACCTGGAGGAGCATTGTAATAGTTCTACTGTCTATGGTACCTGGAGGAGCACTGTAATAGTTCTAGTTTCCATGGTAAATGGAGGAGCATTGTAATAGTTCTAGTGTCCGTGGTACCTGGAGGAGCATTGTAATAGTTCTAGTGTCCATGATACCTGGAGGAGCATTGTAATAGTTCTACTGTCCATGGTACCTGGAGGAGCACTGTAATAGCTCAATTGTCCATGGTACCTGGAGGAGCATTGTAATAGTTCTACTGTCCATGTTACCTGGAGGAGCACTGTAATAGCTCTAGTGTCCATGGTACCTGGAGGAGCACTGTAATAGCTCTAGTGTCCATGGTACCTGGAGGAGCATTGTAATAGTTCTACTGTCCATGGTACCTGGAGGAGCACTGTAATAGGCCTGTTGTCCCATGCTACATTTAGCACTGTAATAGGCCTGTTGTCCCATGCTACATTTAGCACTGTAATAGGCCTGTTGTCCCATGCTACATTTAGCACTGTAATAGGCCTGTTGTCTCATGCTACATATAGCACTGTAATAGGCCTGTTGTCCCATGCTACATTTAGCACTGTAATAGGCCTGTTGTCCCATGCTACATTTAGCACTGTAATAGGCCTGTTGTCCCATGCTACATTTAGCACTGTAATAGGCATGTTGTCCCATGCTACATTTAGCACTATAATAGGCATTTTTGTCCCATGCTACATTTAGCACTGTAATAGGCTTGCTGTCGCATGGTATATGGAGTAGCATTCTAAGGTGCCAGCGCCTGCTTTCCCATGTCACACGCGGGACTGTGTGGTTCCTATATTTTTTAATTGTAAAAAATGAAATCCTGCTTCTCATGCAATAAGTTCTTAGTGTAGTATATGATTACCATCAGGTTTTTCATGCTGGTAACTTGATAATGCATCGTCTGAGCAACTTCAAGATTAATGTTAATGTGTATTTTAGGATATCGGTCTCTGCTCTCTTTGCGAGATTCTAATTAGATTTGGTGTATGTCTTAATTTACTATTTTTATTGAAGAAATTTGAATGTTAGCTTCCATATGACTTGTGATTGCTTTTTCTATTTCGATTAAATTCTTCAACGCTAATATTTAACTGTATTATTAACTTACGCGGCACTCTGCACTATTCCAACAGCGTGCCTTGAGGCACAGGGGACTGGGGTTATGGAATACTGGGATACGTTCCTCGGATTGCGCAGTGACCCGAATACATCTAGTGTTAATGAAGGAATGCATAGAAATTGGTTACCTGGGCTCAAGGTTTGGAAGTGAAAGTGGTTTAGGATATCACAGTGATAGATGTGTTATTTCCTGGATCATTGCTAGTGGCACAGTGCAGCCGGTGTTTTAAAGCAGTATATCTGAATATATTCATACATTTTGTGCTCTATCTTCGTCTCTCTTTGCTCTCTGTGTGTCAAGAAGACAAGCTTAGTGCTACTGCTGCTTAATTCTCTTATTACTCTTTTACAACCTTCTTATATTTCTTCTCTGTTTACTCAACGGGTTTAATGCTTGTTCTTTCTCTGTTATTAAGAGCCAGGTCTTTCTTATGCATTAACTACCGTCTATAAATGGGGGATTTTAACTTTAGACAAATTGATTGGAACAATTTGACAGGAAATCTTGAGTCTAGTGACTTTCTTGATACAGTTCAGGATTGCTTTTTAAAACAGTTTGTGACAGAACCAACTAGAGGAAACAATCTGCTTGACTTGGTTCTTGCCAACAAAGATTCACTGATTAATAATCTTGAGGCTAATGATAAGCTTGGGGAAAGTGATCACAAATCACTTAGTTTCAATATATTACGGAATTACCCAGTAAACTGCAATCGAGTCTGTGTCTCAGACTTTCGATTGGCTGATTTCCTGGGACTGAACAATTAAATAACAACAGCACAATGCTCTGAGCTCACTGCCTAAACTCACCCAACCTGATGCAGCACAATGCTCTGAGCTCACTGCCTAAACTCACCCACCCTGATGCAACACAATGCTCTGAGATCACTGCCTAAACTCACCCAACCTGATACAGCACAATGCTCTGACCTCACTGCCTCAACTCACACACCCTGATGCAACACAATGCTCTGAGCTCACTGCCTCAACCCACCCACTCTGATGCAGCACAATGCTCTGAGCTCACTGCTTCAACACACCCACTCTGATGCAGCACAATGCTCTGAGCTCACTGCCTCAACCCACCCACTGATGCAGCACAATGCTCTGAGCTCACTGCTTCAACCCACCCACTCTGATGCAGCACAATGCTCTGAGCTCACTGCCTCAACCCACCCACTGATGCAGCACAATGCTCTGAGCTCACTGCCTCAACCCACCCACTCTGATGCAGCACAATGCTCTGAGCTCACTGCCTCAACCCACCCACTCTGATGCAGCACAATGCTCTGAGCTCACTGCTTCAACCCACCCACTCTGATGCAGCACAATGCTCTGAGCTCACTGCCTCAACCTCCTCACCCTGATAATGCTCATTTTACGAGCTGATAATTCCAATATCTCGTCCAATGTCGCATAGTAATAGCACGATAATTTTACGAGGTCAAGGCAGGAGCGAATTTAGAATCAGTGAACCTATCAACACCAGCCTCAGCCTCTCAATAAGGGTAATGATTTTGTATTTTATTTTTGTGTATTTTAATTTTTTATATAAGTGTCAAGCAATGTTATTGTTAGTGAGAATATACATTTTGTCATTCGTCTTCATGTATGAGAATAATAAAGAATCATCTTAGGGACATTCATTCACAGAGAGTAGCAATGTGTGATCTTAGTAGCATTCGAGTCAGCCAACCAAATGTTTTGGTTGGCTGACTCGAAGCAACTGGTTGGCGAAACGTTTCTTCAGTAAAAATTCCCAAATGTTGCACAAGTGTCTCATTCTTCAAAAAAATAAAGTAGCAATCATTTGTGAAGTTGATATCGTGGAGGATGAACTATAGCACTACAGTAATCAGTAAAGATTTACTTGGTAAACTATATAATGAAATGTCATATATGCCTGTATAATGCCACCTCTCCCAGGTAATTTTGTATTATTTGCATACACCATTTTTGTAAATGCACTTTATTATAAGCGTAACCAGGATGATTCCATGTGTGGACAGTTAGTTTCACTCCTATATACTCAATGTTATAATCACTTCTCCCTAGAAATTACTTAATTTAAAAAAAAATCGTACAAGTTGCATTAGATAGTATGTAGCTTGTATCACACATGTATGGAATCTTGTGCTTAATACTAATATTAAATATATTCAGCCTGAATGTTTGCAAAGGTTCTTGCCACCCAGACTGACCAGTCGTGTGGTAGCCACTGTAGTGTGCGTTATGATGTCACAGCGTGAGCGTCCGTCATAATGCCGGTCACCTGTGTACTCACCGATATGTGTTTGTGGAGGTCGATACTTAGCCTCTGGTGGGTGTGTTAACCTCTCTCACTCCCAACAAAACTATGGGGCAAAATACTGAACATTTCTAGGCAAAGCAAATGAAGAAAAGTGGAAGAGGAGTGGAAAGGCGAGAGGAGTCAAGAAGGCGGGAATGGAAGCACCAGGAAAAAGGATTGGTGGAATCCGAAACGGACAGAAGAGAATAAATATTAAGAGAAAAGGGAGGCAAGGAGAGACCTAGAAAGGAAAAGAATTACAGATGAGAGGACAGAATACGAGGAAAAAAAAGGACTGAGAGGAAGTGATAGCGATAGTCACTTGGAATGCTAATGCGAGATTATTATATTTGCGATGCTCTAAATTCGTGTGGTAGGATGGAAATGGGAGTGTGGTAGGGTAGAATTGGTAGTGGTAGGGTAGTAGTGGTAGGATGGAAATGGTAGTGTGTGGGTGGAATTCGTAGTGGTAGTGGTAGGATGGAAATGCTAGTGTGTGGGTGGAATTCGTAGTGGTAGTGGTAGGACGGAAATGGTAGTGGTAGGGTTGTAGTGATAGGATGGCAGTGGAGGGTGGAAATAGTAGTGTGTAGGGAGGTTGTGGTAGTGGTAATGTAGGTTACTAACCTGGTAGTGCAGTAGTCTCCTTCGTGCAGCACGAGGCTAAGAAGACGTGCAGAACCGCCACACTCAACAACCTGGACATCTGGCCTAAGAAGTTCAAGTGGCTCTCTTGTGCTCAGTAAGTGGCTGTCTGGTTCCCATCAAGTGGGTGTGCCTGCCCAGTAAGTGGCTGTCTGGTGCCCGGTAAATTGCTGTATGGTAAGTGCCTGAGATCACCAGCTAGTAACTAAGTCACATCGATGTCACCAAGGACTTGATCACCTGAAAGTGTCTAAGAGGTGATCGGGATCACAAGTTACTACATGCAAACCTCTGGTCACCAAGTCAGCCTTACGAAGATCACCATGAGATTAGTTCCACTATCCTGTCGGGAAACATTGTCACTTGTCAACAACTCCTCACCACATAGCTCATGTAGACACAATACTAATATACAGCGTTCCAGATTCCAACAGCAATGCGTTTAGAATGCAAACTCTAATGTTCCACATGCCTGTCACAGGGACAGTTCTATCTGCCTTTTACAGAGACAATTCCATCTACCTGTCACAGGAGCGGTTCCATCTACCTGTCGCAGGGACAGTTCCATTTACCTGTCACAGAGATGGAGCTCCACCTTCCTAGTCTCAGTCATGCCCAGTTTATATTAAAGATTCATGCACTGAAAAAAAGAGGGCATGTCCTATGGTAAGGTTCTTTTTCATACACACCCTGAAACCCTTACCCTCTTCTGCTTAACTTTTCCTGCAGATGCACGTTCCCTCCATCTCCTCAGTTCAGATTCTACTCCTCGACCCATATTTATACAACTTGCTCATTTTTATGTGCCTCTCCAAGTCCTTTGCTGGTGGAGATAGAGGTAAATTTTAGTCTTCTCCTACCGCTCCTCAATCATATTCATCTTCACCTACTTCTGGCTCCACTTTCTTTCTTCCCTTTCCCTCGATCTTATCCCTCTTCATTGCTTTCCAAACCTACACTTATTCTTAGCTGCCCCTTCCTCTTCTTCATCTATAGCTGTCTCGAATCAGCCTCTACGGTTCCATACGGCCCTCTATTAAGCCCTCTCATTCTACCCCAGTTCAAGGTATTCATGTCTCCAAAATACCATTTCCTTCTGCTGGCATAAGCCGAATCGATAGCCGAGATAGCAGCCTAAATACTCTCTTCTCAGATTTGGTGGCTGCCCATGCATTCTTAAACATGGCAAGGCACCTGATGGCCTCCCTCCTGAGAAAGCATTCACCAGATGGCGCTGTCGAAAGAGACTTGTAAAATCGTACACCTCTTCTGCATCTAGTCCATCTCATCCAGTAATGATTAATACCTTCCCTGCCTAACCTAGTTGTTTTGTATCCTTTTTACTTGGTATTCGAATCCAGTTTCTCATTTATCTTCCCTTTTCCAGTCATCGGTCCCTAGTGTCTCTTTACCACTCCCACCCAAACCTGGCTTTATTGATCATTTTCTCTTGTAGCCTTCTCTTCCTTGATCATGATCAAGTTTATTCTCTATAAAGGTTACAATGCGGGGTTTACAGATTTTGGATATTGCGTGGTTTACATATTATAAAATACTAATTACAGAGGGGGCCACTAGGACACCTAGCATGTCTAGGCATTTCGGGCAGACTTAGATTAATTCTTAACTCTAAATTAATACAGATTGTGGAGTAAGTTGGTATTAAGGCTAAGTGACTACGTTATAGTTTGTGAGTTTAGCAATGTAAATGCTTTTGTTTTGGCACAATACAAAGGTTCTATATTGTAGTATCACAGGCAAACTTATGACTAGTTAGGATTCATTGTTTTATGATTAAGATTCGTATTTCTGTGATTATAATCAAGTGGGTGAGTGAGTGTAAGTGTGAACAGGTGGTTTTCATGTAGTTGTCGGGGTGTATCAGGGAGATAAGATGTTGTCTAACGGTAGGTTTGAAGGTGATGAATGTGCCTGCAGTTCTAGAGCTTTCAGATAGGGTGTTCCAGATTTTAGGCCCTTTGACATACATAGAATTTTTGTAAAGGTTTAGTCGGACACGGGGAATGTCATAGAGATGTTTGTGTCTGGTATTATGCCTGTGGGTCCTGTTACAACTATCAAGAAAGCGTTTTAGGTCAAGGTTAATATTGGAATTTAAGGTCCTGTAGATGTAGATTGCACAGTATTAAGTGTGGATGCTCTGAACAGGGAGTAAGTTTAGATCTATGAAGAGTGGGGGGGCGGGTTTGCCAGGGATGTGATTTAGTGATTATTCTTACTGCAGCTTTTTGTTGGGTTATTATTGGCTTTAGGTGTGTTGCTGCAGTTGATCCCCAAGCACAAATAGCATAGGTGAGGTATGGATAAACGAGTGAATGGTATAATATGAGAAGGGCAGTTTGCGGCACGTAGTATCGTATCTTGGAGAGGATTCCAACCATTTTGGATACTTTTTTTGTTATGTGTTGGATATGGGTACTGAAATTCAGGTTGTTGTCGAGGTATAGGCCTAGGAATTTGCCCTCATTATATCTGGCAATTAGAGTGTTGTCGATCTTAATGTTAAGTTGCACAACACCTGCTCTGCTACCAAACATAATATAGTAGGTTTTGTCAGTGTTAAGTGTAAGTTTATTGGCTGTCATCCAAGTCGATATTTTGAACAGCTCCTCGTTAACAATGGTGTTGAGGGTTGCAAGAATAGGGTGGGTTATACCCCTTCAAGAATTTTATAATATTCCACATATACTTTTTAAATTGCACCAAAGTGGTTGGGTCACTTACCTTTTATATCCTACCTCACTCCCCCCTCCCACCCTTTTCCAATATTTCTATTCTTACCCATCCTTCTTCCTTACCCATCTTACCAAAGACTCTGGTCATAAGAATCGAAAATGACATAAGTCGTGTCATCAGCAAAGAGAATGGATTTCAGGTGTTGGGATACGTTTGGAAGATCATTGATGTAAATGAGGAAGAGCAGGTGACCAAGGACACTTCCCTGCGGAACTCCGGTATCAAGTGGCCGTGTTGATGAGGCTGTGTCTTTAATGGTGACATACTGATACCTGTTTGTAAGGCAGGATTTAAAATATGCAAGCGCATGGCCTCTTATACCATAATGGTCAAGTTTGTGGAGTAGGATGCCGTGGTCTACTGTGTCAAAAGCTTTTCTTAGGTCAATAAAAATTCCTAGAGGATATTCGTTCTTTTCCAATGCTGTGTAAAGCAGAACTAGCATTTGTACAATTGCATCATTAGTGCTTTTATTTTTCCTGAATCCAAATTGGCAGGGGTTGAGTATGTTTTGTGCCGTTATAAATGAATATAGTCTCCTGTGCACGAGTTTCTCGAAGATTTTGGATAGCAATGGTAAGTTTGATATTGGCCTATAGTTGTTTACATCCGTAGGGGCACCACCTTTATGTATTGGTGTAACCCTTGCTGTCTTGAGTAGTATCGGGAAAGTGCTAGTTTCTAGTGACTTGTTAAAAAGTAATGTAATAGCGTGCGAAAGGATATGGGCCGCTCGCTTGTACAATAATGGTGGGACGTGAGACAGATTGCCTGAGCTATTTTTAAGTGATTTTGTAATCGCAGTGGCTTCCGTGGGCTCAGTTGGTACAAGATAGAAGGAATTTGGGAAATTCCCATCTAGGTAGTCCCCGGCATGGGTGTTGGTACGTGGGATTTTACTGGCGAGGTTAGATCCTGTGGTTGAGAAGAAGTCGTTTATCTTGGTAGCTGTATCAGTGGGATGCAGTGGTGTATCATTAGGTTTAGTTAGGACAATATTCTTGTTTTTTTTTCAGTTTGTGGGTCCCCAGAATCTGGGAGAGTGTTTTCCAGGTCTTTTTTATATCTCCTCTTGTGTCAGTGAATCTGCTGGAGTAGTGCAGTTGTTTGGCTTTTTTTATTGCTTTACTGTAATCTTAATGACAGTTTTACATGAATATTCGTGGTTACATAGGAAACTGGGGAAAGTTTCAGGTGCTGATTTCTCAGTTTTCTCCTGTACGTATTTGCCTTCAGAAATCTAAACTGTGACATGTTACTGGCTTTTTTATATACGGCTACAATGAAAATTCCCACTTGGCATGCACTGATGTACTACAAGACCCTCTCCTACTTTTAGTGGCTTTATTTATTATCACTTACTTTGGGGGTGAGACCGACTGGGATTTCTTGGGAAGATCAGCTAGTGCCTTTTCTTACTCTTGTACATTTTAAGATCTGAAATACTAGATCAATTCATGCGGATCCTCGCCTTCGCACCTCATCGTATATCTCTTGGTATACTCACACTGTGGCAATGGAATTTGATCAGTAGTTTCTGATCTACATGATTGCTGCCATTTTCCTATTAACCAATGAAAAGCAGGGGCTCCACGAGTACGCTAGAGACAACATAAAAAGTGTCAGGGGCCCAAGGCTGTTCACCTGCCTCCCAGCATACATAAAGGAGATTACCAATAGACCCCTGGCTGTCTTCAAGAAGGCGCTGGACAGGCACCTAAAGTCAGTACCTGACCAGCCGGGCTGTGATTCGTACGTCGGTTTACGGGCGGCCTGCAGTAACAGCCTCGTTGATCAGGCCCTAATCCACCACGAGCCCTGGTCATGGACCAGGTCGCGGGGGCGTTGACCCCTGAAACCCCCTCCAGATATACCTTACTCCCCACCTCTCTACCAGCCCTTCCTGCTGCTCTGGTTGGCAATTTGTGCGTGCTAGTTGGACACTTTTTATGCACAACACGATTCTTCCTTCTCCATCCACTCAAGTTGTTAAATTATTTCTATACATCTCTTCTCACGGCTGTCGGCATTATCATCCTGTAGGGATTTTTACAAAAACAGCCTTTCGGTGGTTGCCTAAGTTCAAGGGGAGGCTGAGGGGAAAATATTAAATTGGTCAGTGATTTTTTATATTATTCAGGGAATTATTACATTATTCAGGGATTTATTACATTATTCAGAAAATTATTACAGTATTCAGGAAATTATTACAGTATTCAGGGAATTATTCCATTATTCAGGAAATTATCATCGCATTTAAAAGGATTCTTTGTTGCCAGTGTCTTTATTTCCTTTTCATCAAATCACTTCCTGACCAACCGAACTGTGGTTCTTACTACTGCTCGCTGTCTCGTTTTCAAACAGACAAGGGCTTATGTCCCCTGTATCATGTTAACTGCCAAGCGTGATTGTTGGTGTGCTTTCGTCTCGACCCCTTAACGCCACAACTACTGTGTCCGACAAATGGAAAAGAAAAATACAGAATATGGCGGACAAATACTCGTCTAACCCAGCTCCATGCTGTGTTGACTGATGCTTGTGTACTGACTGGTGCTTGTGTGTTGACTGATGTTGGTATTGACTGATGCTTATGTTGACTGATGCTGGTGTTGACTGATCCTTGTGTTGACTTATGCTTGTTTGTTGACTGATGCTTGTGTTGACTGATGTTTATGTCTTGACTGATATTTGTGTCTTACTGATGCTTGTGTGTTGACTGATGCTTGTGTTGACTGATACTTGTGTTGACCGATGTTTGTGTTTACTGATGCTTTAGTTGACCGATGCTTGTGTTGACTGATGCTCGTGTGTTGACTGATTCTTGTGTGTTAACTGATGCTTGTGTTGACTGATGCTTGTGTGTTGACTGATGCTTGTGTTGACTGATACTTGTGTGCTGATTGATGCTTGTATTGACTGATGCTGGTGTTGACTGATGCTTGTATTGACTGATGCTGGTGTTGACTGATGCTGGTGTTGACTGATGCTTGTATTGACTGATGCTGGTGTTGACTGATGCTG